CCCCAAAACCCCAAAACCCCAAAACCCCAAAACCCCAAAACCCCAAAACCCCAAAACCCCTAGTCCTTAAAATAAATTGACTCCGAGTTTGATTATTATATAATAAAGTCATGAATAGTTCGCAAGAAATGAGTATGAAGAACATCACCAGCGAGGCCCTTGGCATGAAAGTCAGGAAGCCTAGTGGAAACTACCTTTATTTCAAGACCAGAGCTCGGTCCAGGAGCTTCGGCAGCTTGCCTGATTTGTTCAACCAGGATGAGTGCGAAGGAAGAGAAGGAACTGATGAAATTAGCCATGGAATGGACGAAGAAGGAAAGATCTTCAAGTTCACCCCCAGTGACCCTAAGATTAAGACCAAGTATGCTGAAGTAAAGGAGCTGTTTCAAGAGGTCTTGAGTCCAACTGTTGTCACTCTTATGACTGAGGTGGAAGATGACAAGGTAAGTTCCTTAACAAATTAGTCGAATTCTCCTTTATTCTCGACTCTTTTTCCATGATTCCAATATCTTTGTAAGGTAGTCAAGGTAATTAATCATTGGTCTACCTTGTAAGCATTGATAGTTGTGAATACATATGTCATGGGATCTGAGAATTCTAAAAAAATTCTATAAGTATTTTAACCTTAAAATCTTCTTCCCTGGAATCACATTTTCATTGGGGAAATTTTAATAAACTTACGTATAGACTGTTATCAAAAAGTCTCTAGTAAAATCGAAGATTTTATGTGACACAGTGCTTGAATCTTGCAGAAGAGAATGAGCCATTCACTCTTGCTTGAAGCACCCGAACATCATTGAGATGTACGACTACACTGAGGACGATGAAGAGTTCTCTTTGTTCATGGAATACGCTAACAAGCCTATGTACTTGTCTGAGCTAGTGAACGACACACATACTCCTGTTGAAGATCAACATATGTTAAGGAAAATTGCTGAAGATATCCTTAAAGGACTAAGCTATATCCATGGTCGAGGTCTGATTCATGGAGACGTCAAACTTTGAAACATGCTATGCCATGAAGAAAATGACGTGATTTCAGTGAAAATTTGTGACTTTGGCCTATCCTACATATTGGACCAAGAAAAAGGGAATAAAGTATTAATTAAAGACGTCTCTGGAACTCTTGGACATATTGCGCCAGAGGTGAAAAGTAACTGCATGATCGGTCCAGAAGTAGACATCTGGTGCTTTGGCCTAATGCTATATGAACTTGCTGTGGCGTATAAGCCAACCCAGCTGAAAAGCTACACGTACAGCAGCGGAGATATTCCCTTTAGGAGAGTCGACTGGAGGAGAAAGAGTCCTCTGCTCCAAGACCTTATTCTAAAGTGAATGAACTATAATCCCGAGAAGAGAATCTCTGCTGAAGAAGCCCTCCAGCACCCTTGGATCACTTCTCAGGAATAAATTATTAATTAACCTATTGCTTACACCAAACCACGTTCTCTTGTATTCATTGATCTGTATTCTTATTAATACTAGCATTTTCAAATGGATTCCTTACTCATGGGGTTTTGGGGTTTTGGGGTTTTGGGGTTTTGGGGTTTTGGGG